CAACTGCAGGCACAGTTTCACCACATTCACATTCCTCTGTGTTTCTTTCCCCCCCTTAATCATCACAGTTTTGTAGGTGAATCAAGTAAGTTAACCAATCTGATCATTTCTCAGCCAGCAGAATTCCTTGGATGCATACTGGGGGTCTTATTCCCTTTTGTCATTTTCTCTCCAGTGATTACCTTTTCAAGTCCCTTTCTAGCAGGGCTGTTAGCTTCCCTGTTCACTGTTCACAGGTGCAGAACCTACTGAAGAGTTCACAGCCAGGAGTTTCTACCTGTCAGTGGCTTTCTAGCACTTCTACAGTAAAATCCAGACTTGGAGTTCTGGGTAGCACTTACTCCATCTGCTTTTCTTTCTAATCCTGTTCTGCCCAGCCAGGCCTCTGCTCATCCTTTCTAGTTTTTGCCTTGGTAGTTTTGCTCACATATGGCCCCAGCAAGGAGTGTTCTTCACATCAGCCTTCACTTACTTTCAGAGACCCTTTCACACTATCTGGATAGTTCATTTTGGTAGTTGGTTTTTCAAAAGTGTGGTGGACGTGATGTTGCTGTTTCTGGTGTTTGCACATTGTCTTCTAAGTATCTCGAATGTGGATTCTGTGTCTTTGTAGTCTCAGTTCTGGCCTGGGGTGAGAGTGTCTGGAAATATTTGTTGGAAAAATGACTTAACATTTCTGAGCCTGGGAATATGGTGGTTCCGTTGAGAGCGACATCAGGGGTTGGTTGATATTCTGAGGACATTGAATTCAGATGTTGACAGAGTTCCCGCGATTGCAAAGATCCACCAGTGTGCAGTCCCTAGAGCTGGAAGACCGGAACATTGCTCGCTCCTGCTTCCATGCAGCTGTGGGCTTGAATGCATTTTGATGATGTCTGACACCTCAGAGGTAGTACTTCAGGCCGTAAGAGTAGGGTAACCTTTCAAAGACAAGCAATAAGTGAGGGAATCACAAACTCAGAAACAATATAACCTAGAATTAGCTGGCGAAGGAAAAAAAGGTAAGAGGAGACACATTTCTTACTTGATATAAGTGGTGCATCCCTCATCCAAAATTCCTTAATGCTCGCATTCCTGAATTTTTTGAGCATGCACATAATGTCACAGGTAGGGAACTCCACACCTGACCTCCTATGATAGCATGCACAGTAAAAATAACATATAAAATTACCTTTAGGATGTGTGTGTGTGTGTGTGTGTGTATATATATATATATGAAACATGGATGCATTTCTTCTTTAGACTTAAGTTTCATCCCAAGAAACTTAATTATGCATATACAAATATTCCAGAATATGAAACCATCTAAAACTGAAACACCTGTGGTCCAGAGCATTATGAATAAGAGATCCTTAATCTGTGGTTAGTTCCAGTTCAAAGCATAAGGAGATTTGCTGAGCAGGGTGCTGTCTTAAGTGCAAATAGGAGACAGACTGAGGTAATGTGGGAAATTAAATCCAGGCTTATCAGATGCTAAATAACTTGATAAGCTTTGATTTTTACTACACAAGTTTGTAGTTATGAAGAAATTAAAGGAGAAATTTTATATTATGTGGAATAAATCAGAAAAGGCACTAGGAATTATGAAAGTATTTTATTTTCTTATTTGAATGCAAATTTTATTAATAAAGAACAGTGCTTATAATCTAAGTTATAATACTCCCATCAGGTATATTTGAATAAACAAATATAAGAAATATATGTGACTATATATAAAAGAAATACAAAGGACAGCAGTATCTGGCCTGCTGTGTAAATTGTCTTAGATAAATTGCAACTATAAGATGAAACATAAATTTACTAACATTCAACTATCTTTTACTATGAAAAGGTGACTGAATCTGATTCAACCTCTAGTTCTGTGTTTGAGTTGACTCTCCCAAAGCTCTGTGTGTGTGTGTGTGTGAGAGAGAGAGAGAGAGAGTGTGTGTGTGAGTGTGTGAGTGTGTCCAACTGAACAATTATCAGAGAGGTGCTTGCTTGCACAGAGCAGGAAACTGAGTTTGAAATGTTTGCTGCTTCCCAGCCCACTTGCGCGTCTTGCCAAAACCTGTAACTGAAATTATCTTCTCCATGTCGAGTTCTGTATCTGTCATTGGGATTTAAATAGAAACAGCCCTAAGTCATAGAAAAATTGCCAGAGAGCAAGCAGCTTGACCAGGTCATCTGTTGGACTTATTATTGTGATCAGGTGAAAAAAAATCTCTTCCATAGACCCCTGTGTTCCAAAGTAGAAAGGAAAAGTCCCTTCGTGGGAACCTTGCACAGAGCACAGCGGACAGTAGAGCATGTGATTGCAAAGGCGCATTGGTGCCATTACTGGAGCTATGCAATTTTTTTTGAAGGCTCCCATGGCCCACAGTCTCTCTCTAGTGTTTCGAAGTGCATCTAAGAGAGACAGTCCCAGCCCACAAACCAGCTTGGCTCTTCCTTCCTCTCCTCTTTACTCGCTCTCATGTGACACTAATGGAGTCAAGCTTTTAAGCCAGCAGGAAGATCAATAAAGATTTCATAAGGTTAGCAAGAATTATTGAACATCATGGCCAGACATGTGGCACTCAGTTTTCTTTTTTACAAAAAATGAAAAAGAGGTTTAGATAAATAATATCAGAAAGTTACTGAATCATTTAAAATAGTAGCTTAGTGATAAATTTTTAAATGGCATATGCAGTTCTGTCTGCTGCCTACCTAGGATTTTAAATTTTAGAAACCTAAGGATTAATAAATACATGTTTTCATTGTTTCTTTGTTGTTGAAGATTTGGGGTTCTTTGATTAATTACTCTGTGTGTGTGTGTGTGTGTGTGTGTGTGTGTGTGTGTGTGTGTGTGTGTGCACGCACACGTGCTGAGTATTGAATCCAGGATCTCACACATAGTAGGTACGCACTATACCCTTGGGCTGTATCTCCAGCCCCACGGAGTTCTTTCTGTGGGGTGAGATGTGCTATCGAGTTTGGTAAGTGTGGGATGGAACTGCCAATTCTTTCACTTTCCCTCCTGGGTCAGTTCGGGGCTGGATCCACTCCTATTCTTCTTGATCTGTCCCCTTCAGCACAAGTGTGTACACACAGTGTGACCCTGTTCCATGGGAACTTGCTGCATAAAGTTTTCTTCACTGGTTAAGTCCTCCTAGAAACCACTGATTGGTGCCTTTGTTGTCATTCCCTGACTATATTTAGGCTTCATACTTGCTAGGCCAGCACTCTACCACTAAGCCATATAGCCCCAGACTTCTCTGCTGGGTCTCTACATAAAAATTTATTTTTATTTTTGGTAGTACCAGGGGTTATACTTGAGGCCTCATGCTTGTTAGATGGGTGTTTTTCCACTGGAGCTACTCCATTAGCCTTTTTGTATTGGTTATTTTCAAAGTAGGGTCTCACTCGTATTTCTGGGCTAGTCTGGACTGCAGGCTTCCTAGCTGGGCTTTCCTGTGTCACTGAGATGACAGGCATTTGCTACTGCGTCTAACCATTGTGCTTCTTCACCTGTAGCTGTGTGCAGCTATCTTGGTCAAGACAGAGTCTCACAAACTTTTTTTCCCTCATCTTGTCCAGCCTCAAGCCACAGTCCCCATCTCTGTCTTCAAAATAGCTAGGATTGCAGCTTTGAGCCACTGTGCCCACTTACACATTCAATTGTAAGGTACATCATAAGAACCATTTTTATTTTTATTTTTTAAATAGTATGTCTGAAACATAATTATTGTGGTACTGTTTCAAGTTAAGAACCTTGAACATGTGCATCCCTGTTTGTGAGGGGTGGAGGAGGAAGTCATTAACCTGTATGATTTCGGTGGGTGAGGAGGAGGGGGTAGTGATGGGAACCAGTGTTTAAAGAGGTGACTTTGCCATCACAGTTGAACAGAAGTAGAAAAGACATGAAGAAGAGCCTTTCAGGTACATACTGAGGCTCTGAGATGGATCTCACAGTCAGTATTACTAGAGCAGTCATCGACAGGGCAAGTAGTACAGTCCAGACCACTGCACCTTTCTAGTCCATGGTAAAGACTTTGGATTCTCCTGTGGCCTAGGTAGGATCCTGGGACGTTTTGAGCAGAGGGAGGGAGGGCATGACATGTCATCATAGGACGAGTATTTATATAAGAGTAGGCCCAGTGGCCCATGGCAGGACCAGGTAGACTAATTGAGATGATATACAGATACACATAAATGAGATGGTTAGAAAGCAGGCAGTCAGATGGTGGAGCTGAACAAAGATATTAGTAAAACTGAGTATAGAAGAGAGAGAAAGCAAGGTTGTCTCCCATTTTAGACCTGATTGGCTGAAAGAACAGAGGAGCCAAACTAAAGGGACACTAAAGATGGGGCAGGCAGGAAGACAGGAAAAGCATCCAGGGCTCAAGTTTTGACATGATTGTTTAAGACATCCTTTTTAAAAATCCTTTGAAAAATATGCTAAATCATATCACATATGTAAAAAATTTTTCTGGACATGGATGACTTTGATCTTTCATCTAGCCAAAGAAGTACCTGTTATATCTGCCTTGCATTGCTTTCCTAAGACATAGCCCTTTGTCTCTAATGATCTCAGAGGTGCTGGGATATGGCCAGGTCATAGAACCCATACCCAGCATGTCCAACTCCAAGCATCACAAAAATAAATGGCAATACTCTATTCAACTTTGGCCATAGGCCTTTCTCAAAATCCTAGTGCATATCTCCTGGTTCCCTACTTGGTTATTTATGTTCTTTGAGACTTTCAGTTTTTATTGCACGAGCTTGTGAGAACTAAGAACATTGTGTGTGAACTGAGATAAGACCCTTAAACACTCTGTGACTACAAGATTGATGGCTGGACAGGTCCTGCTCACCCTATCTCTAGGACAGGGTTGTAAGTGCTTCACCTTTTCATTTCCTAAATCTGGCCTGATGAATACAAGGATACACCGGATACAGAGGTTCACAGTAAATATTGAATGGGTGAATGTTTCTGAACAAATTTGAAGAAACTAAATGTCTTTTCTCTTTTTTCATAGCGGCTGACAGCTATAAAGTGCAAGATAAGAAATCATCCCTCAACCGCCCTTCCTCTACAGTTTCAGGACCAAGTAACAACTCCGGAAATAAACAGGGTATGATGCATTGCATGGGCTTTGGGGATAAGAAGACTATTTCAAAAGCCTTAGAGGCATGCTGGTGAACTGTAAAGTAGATTTTAGGGGAATTTGGTTCCAATCTTACCACCCAAATACACATTCACTGGTATGATTTTTATGTCACAACCACAAATCAGAGCCTTGGTTTTCTCTCTTTCAAATAGAGAACAGATATTTGGTCTGCTTTTCTCAGAGTTGTACTGATGGTGAATGACAGAAAGTTTGTGGATACATTTGGTTATGGCAAGCTGCATATAAAGTAATCATTTTACTCTTCTGTGTTAAAATTCACATAACACAAATTTTGTACCTGTATGACCAGCATTATTGTATATGGCTTTTGTAACTTAAGAAAAAAAAGAAAAGGAAAAAAAAAAGATTTGTCAGATGCCAATGGCTCATACTGGTAATCCTAGCTACTAAGAAGGCTGAGATCTGAAGATCACGGTTCAATGCTAGCCTGGGCAGGAAAGTCCGTGAGACTCCTATCTCCAATTAAACTGCCAGAAAACCGGAAGTGGCTCTGTGGCTCAAATAGTAGAGTGCTCACCTTAAGCTGAAGAGCTCAGGGACAGTGCGCAGGCCCAGAGTTCAAGCCCCAAGACTAACAAAAAAGAAAAAAGAAACTTAAAGACTTAAGTCTTTACACATGGCAAAGCTCACATAGCATGTTTTTTACTCTCTGTTCTTTGCAATGATTGTACCCCTTCCTCCACAGTAATTTCATTTACTAGCTTATGATTCATCATCGGTTCCAATTGTGATAAAAAGAAGCAGTCTGTAAACATAATACAGTTAAATAGACAGTGCAGTTTCTTATGTATGGTTCATGAGAGGGATTAGCATAAAATGTCATGATAGGGAACCATCAAAACGAAGGAAAAACAAACTAGAAAAAAAAAAAGGAAAAGGACTAGAAGGAAGGACTTTGTAAGTTCTGCATGCTGTATTTGAGGCCAGTGTCCCTCAAGAACAGTGTGGTGGCCACACCTGTTACATTCTAGCACTGGGGTGGCTGAGGCAGGAGGACTGAGAAGCCAGTCTGGGCTACAATGTAATGCCTGTTACTAAAACAAAACATAGAAAGCATTTTCTTTCTTTTTTTTTTTTTGGGGGGGGGGTCCGGTCGTGGGCCTGAACCCTAGGCCTGGGAGCTGTCCCTCAGCTCTTCAGCTCAAGGCTAGCGCTCTACCACTTGAGCCACAGCACCACTTCTGGCTTTTTTTCTTTTTGCTTATGTGGTGCTGAGGAATCGAACCCAGGGCCTCATGCATGCAAGGCAAGGGCTCTACCACTGAGCCACCTTCCCAGCCCCGAAAGCATTTTCTCACAGAAAACATTCTCTTTTTACTTAGTTTTATCCTTTGTTTTCCACTTGGATAACACCTTGAACATATAAGTCTATTGAGTAAATAAATCTGACTTGTCATTTCGAAGAAAGGGACAATAACAAGGGTGACTTGAAGAACACTGCAAAAAGAGCAAAGTAGTAAGAGGCCAGGGGAAAGCTATCCCAACTCTTGCCCTGCATTTCAAAGGCTCTTAAGAAGGTGCCATTCCATTGCATAATTGAAAAGATTCCTTAATTCAGGAGCCTCAGTTCTTGTGACTGGGGCTGTCAGTGCTGGCGTGGGCAGGTGAGGGGGTATGTCCCATTCTGTGTTTAGAATTTGTATGAAATTTGGCATGTACCTGAAAGTAAGCTACAAGTGGCTCCTACTTCAATTTTTTTTTTTTGTCGGTCGTGGGGCTTGAACTCTGGGCCTGGGCGTTGTCTATCAGCTCTTCAGCTCAAGGCGAGCGCTCTACCACTTGAGCTACAGCATCACTTCCACTTATCTGGTGGTTTACTGGAGATAGGAGTCTCACGGTCTCTCCTGCCCGGGCTGGCTTTGAACCGCGATCCTCAGATCTCAGCCTCCTGAGTAGCTAGGATTACAGGCATGAGCCACCAGCGCCCAGCTCCTACTTCAATTTATAAAGTGGTGAACTCTCTTACAAACTTTTTTTTTCTTTTTTCTTTTTTTTTTGGTCAATTACAGGACTCAGTTGAACTCAATCCTGGATGCTGTCTGAGCTTTTTTGCTCAAGGCTAGTCATGCTCTGCCACTTTGAGCCACAGCTCCACTTCTGGTTTTTAAATAGTTAATTGGAGATAAGAGTCTCATGGCTTTTCCTGCCCAAGCTGGTTTAGAACTATGATCCTCAGATCTCAGCCTCTTGAATAGCAAAGATTACAAACATGAGCCACCAGCACCCAGCTCTTACAAACTTTACATAATATACGTATGTGGTTTTTATTAGTACAACTGATTTTCAATTTTTATGACTGAGGTTTTTAGAAGTAGAATTTGTTATTTAAGGAATTCACCTAGGTAGGATGGTTGGTGGTTAAAGATGGGGGAAAAACTCTTACCACATCTAACTTTTTATAAGTTGAGATGGAGTCTTGTGAACTTTTTTGCCTGGGTTGACTTCATATCACCATCATCCCAACCTCTGCCTCCCAGATAGTTAGGATTATAGGCAACGAAGCACTATACCTGGCTATATAATGTATCTATATGTGAATTGTCATATAATCAAGTATATCACTGAAACTATGGACACATGTACTAATTGTGTTGAGGTGTAGTAGTATTCATTAGTTTATTAGACCAAAAGACATTTACCCAGGTATTTTAAAAAATCACTTCCTCTCATATTTTCACCTTATTTCAGAACCTCCACCTGTGCTACGTGTCGATGACCGCCAGCGGCTGGCCCGAGAGCGGCGTGAGGAACGGGAAAAACAGCTAGGTACCTAGATCCTGCCCTGCAGGCCTTGTTTGATCTTGGAGGAGCTCTCTTGCTGAATTGTTACTTTTTTTCTCCTCTAGAATGAGGGCCACCTGCCATTGATAGATGTTACTGTCACAGCTGTGCTCTCTCAAGGACCTGGTAGACTTTAGGAGCACTGTGAAGGAGAGTTGAGGAAGTGATTCACATACACAGCAGTAAGCACAGCCCCAGGATTAGATGATTATTTTTATGTGTTAGTTCATGGCATTACAGTTTCACATGGCACAGGAGAGAATGTGTATTTCAGTGGAATGATGCTGGAATTTGTTGGAATTTGCGGGAGAGAGAGAGAGAGAGAGAAAGAGAGGAGAGAGAGAGAGTGTGTGTGTGTGTCTGTGTCTGTGTGTGTGTGTGTATGTGTCTGTGTGTGTGTTCCCAAGTTCAGGGCCACTTGCTCAGCTGGTGCTCTACCACTTCAGCTATACCTTCAGTCCAGCATTTTACTGGCTAATTGGAGGTGGAGTTTTATAGACTTTTTTCTACTTAGGATGGCAGAGAAAATGAATATGAGAATTTCTGAGCCTATATACCACCCAGCTACCTAATGGCTCCCATGTTGGAAGGATGCTGTGGTTGAATTTCTAGGCAGGTGCTCTGCATGTGCAGTCAGGAAACGCAGAGACCCACTGCTGAGGTATCTGACTTCTGTCTTTTGGACATCCTTGTGAAAGGTCACTAGCTCGGGCATTTATTAGCCTATGGACTGCTGGAAAGCTGGGCCACAGCCCTGGCTTACTGGTAAGCAGAGACCAGATGTGGAGGTAAAGTACTCACTATCTTCTAGAACACAGCAAAGAATTCATGACGCGGAGGTAAAGCACTCACTATCTTCTAGAACACAGCAAAGAATTCATGCCAGCTCTTCCTTTGTCTTGATGCCTGTTTGGGATTTTGTTGTTGTTTGTTTTTGTACTGGTACTGGGCCTTGAACTCAGGTCCTCACAATCTTACTTGGCTTTTTTTGTTCAAGGCTGACACTCTCCCACTTGAGCCACACTTTCACTTCTGGATTTTTTTCTGGTTACTTGGAGATAAGAATCTTTTGGATTTGTCTGCCCAGGCTGGTCGTGAACCACGGTCTTCAGCTCTTAGCCTGTTGAGTAGCTAGGATTACAGGCATGAGCCACCAGTACCTAGCTTAATGTCTGCTTCTGCAAAGTTGCTGAAACCTGATCTTCTCTTTATGTACCCAGAAAAGAAAGTGCTTGGCCAGTGTGACCAGAGATTATGGATATTTTTTAATTTACCCTTACTTAGGCTGCCAAATGCACTATAGCGAATGGTTGATAGTTTTCTGAAGTTCTGAGCTGCAAGAGTGAATGTTTCCATTGGAGGTCCCAGCCCTTTATCCTGTCCAGACCTTGTTGGCATCCTTTTCCCTGTCACAACAGCCACATGATGGCATTTGTTTTGCTACCAGGCACTTCTTAGACACATATTTCAGTAACTTGCTGGAAATTCACAGCCTAAGCTTGTGGATCTGTGCGTCCATAGGGGCCTAATACTCCCTGTCTCTGCGGTTGGCAGGTCTCTGGAGATCAGGCTGGCTCTGCCATCTGGGCACCTTCCTCCTCCCATGACCTGTCCCAGTGCCTAATAAGGAATGGGAGGAGGAAGACCAGGCTGAGCAGAACTGAAACGAGAAAGCAGAGCTGTAGAAGCCAGAAGAGACTAAAGTAAAGCAAAAATAAGAAAGCGGTTCTGTTCTGGGGTGACTGTTACTTGCAGTCTGTCTCCAGATCCATCCAAGTTAGCACTTTGTCCCCTCCCACCACCTCCCCTGCCATCCTCATTGGGAGTGTCACACTAATAGGCACCTCTCTAGAGCTGTGTTGTGAATTTCAGGTTTGTATATTCACAATTGCTTAAAAAAGAAGAGCTTCAGTAATATCAACAACACGATCTAAATCTCTCTGAGCTCTTGCATATTTGATCTAAATCTCTCTGAGCTCTTGCATGTTTATATTTAACTCCTGCCTTTCCATTTGAATTTCTTCATGTTCTTCAAATCAGGCATCAATAGGATTTTTTTTAATTGATAGTGGAAATCTACAAAAATAACTGTACTTCTTATGCTTTAAAGGTCTAAGACTTGTAGCTAATTCTCCCTAAAAGTTTTACGAGCATGGTAGTGGTGGTGGTGATGGTGGTGGTAGTGGTGATGGTGGTGTGTGTGTGTATGTGTGTGTGTGTGCGCGCGTGCTCGCGGCACATGCCTATACTGGGTCTTGAACCCATTGCCTGGGCACTGTCCCTTGGCTTTTTTTGCTCAAGGATGACTCTCTTGACCCACAGCTCCACTTCTCATTTTCAAGAGTCTCAACAGTCTTTTCTGCCCAGGCTGGCTTTGAACCATGATGCTCAGATCTCAGCTTCCTGAGTAGAATTACAGGCATGAGCTACCAGTGTGCAGCTTTTTTCTTAAGATGGTATAGTGTATTTTGATTCCTGTTGATGATATTTAACATGAACTCATTAATTTATATATTCAGAAACTTGATTTGCCAGAGACTGATTTAAAAAAAAGAGAGAGAGTAAAGTTGAGGCCCTGCCCTCCTCAGCTAGCTGCAGTCCAGGAAAGGCAGAGAAGCAAACCTTAGTTATCATACCATGCTGTGTGCCTCCCACAGGAGAGCCTGAGGAAGGACCAAAGCCAGCCTGGCCTGTTGCTGGTGGCTTAGACCATCAAGTAGAATCAGACGGACAAGGCTAGGGCCTGGAGAAATAAGGAAAGGACAGGAGGAAACAACACTTACTCTTCAGATTATTATCACAACTTTTTTTTTTAATGGTGAGCTTGTATATAATGGATACAATACTTCTCTTATTCTTACCTTGCTATATTAAGTGTCTTAGTTCTAATCTTACATCTTTTTTTATATTTGAATCCTAAGTTTTGCTGCTTGCTTGTTTGATCTAGGGTCTTACTATGTCTCACGTTAGCCTCATACTTTGGACTGGCTTTGGACTTGTCATCCTCTTACTCCAGCCTCCTGAGTGCTGGGATCTTAGGCATTTACCACTATGCCCGGTCTCAAATCATAATTGGAATATATTCCTCCTTTTTTTCTTTAGAGTTTCATTTTCTTTTTAAATTTTAAAACTGTATTTTTGTACTACTTTTATGCACTGAAACCATCATAATGGAAGCTAAGTCTTATGTGAGGCTGCCTACATAAACATGCATGCAGAATGCATACACGTACATACATTCGGCCTCGGAATACATGAGGGTGGTTTCTAAGGCTTCTTGAGTACAAGTTCCCAGTACAAGTACATCACAGTACCCAGATGATAACTGCACATGGACTGCTTTCTTTACAAGCTGTGACTAGCCAGGGGTTGGTGGTTTATACTATAATCTGAGCTACTTAGAAGGCTGAGATTTGAGGATCAAAGTTCAAAGCCAGTCCCAGTAGAAAAATCCTAGAGACTCTATCTTTAATTAACCACCAAAAAGCTGGGGAAGTGGAGCTGAAGCTCAAGTAGTAGAGTGAGAAAGTGGAAGCCCCAGTCTGGCACTGAAACAAAGCTGTTACAAACAAACAAACAAGAGCCCTTGCTGAATAGAAAATATTTGGAATTTACATAGTTGGAAAACAAAGGAAGAGATTATGTCAACAGTTACTTTAAAGCTTTCTAAATAAAACACTGGAAATTAGTCCTCAAATTCTTGGAAGGCCAGTTTAAAATGAATGGCCATTGACACTGATTATTTACTGTTAGATATGGGTTGGAATTAACGTAGAAATCATTAAGGTTTGGAGTAGGTTGTTTTTCGGTCCTTCCTTAAATTTTAAAAAGCAAACTGGAGGAGACAGGGTAAAGGTCTGTCTTGTTTTGAACATGGTGTATCAGTACTATGTTGCATTTGGACAGAATCTATTAATAATTTTCTGTGGGCTAAGTCTCTGCATTGTGCTCTAATGCTTTGATGGTGGGATTATGCCTGTGGCGTGCCTTTCTATGTTACTCTCCAGTTTTTCACATAAAATGATCATAATAAATCTTTGCTTGTGAGACTGCTTTGCTCTGATGGTTTGGCTGGACAGATGTTCTTGGAAGCTTTATCTTTCTGCCTTAAAAGCTTTATAAGTGGTTCTTCACCCACTCTATTCCATCTGATTCTATTCAGGCCATTTCTCCAAACTCCTCTCTCTGGACTTCAGCATATCTACCCTTCTCTTTCCCTCTCCTTCTCCCTCTTCCTCTCTCTCTCCATCTTCTCCCCTTTCCATACAAGTGCATACGGGCCCAGGTATTGGGACTTGAACTCAGGGCCTGGAGCTATCATTCAGCTCTTTCACTCAAGGCTGGCACTCTACCACTTGAGGCACAGCTCCTCTTACAGTTTTTTGTTGTTTGCTGCTTAATCGGAGATAAAAGTCTTAGATTGATTTGCTCAGGCTGGCTCAAAAATGTAATCCTCAGATCTCAGCCTCCTAGTAGATAGGATTACAGTATAGGAATGAGCCACTGGTCTCCACCTACTTTATGTTATTGAAATTAATTTGCTAACTAGTAAGTTAGTAGTTGGGATGGTGTGTAGTCAGAGATGCTGGAGATACTGAAGTGAAGACACATTTCTCATCTCTTGGAACTTGTATTCCAAGCCAGGAAGTAACCTAATACAAGATCCAAGGTTATATCACTTCTAGCTACAATTTATTTTTCATGTGTCTCATAACCAATCCATCAGGAAGTAACCTCCAGATATATCCAAGATGTAACCGCTTCCCTCTCTGTTAGACTCGGGCTCAAGCCACTAAACCTCTCCCCTGCAGATTGCACCGACTCCCAGCTCTCCTTTCTTTCTCCCACCTCCACCGCTCCGTTCTCAGCCACGCAGCCAGTGCAGCCCAGTTAGAAGGGGGCCTGCTGTGTCATGCCTCTCCGTCTTACACCTTTTTGTTTTTTAAACACTCTAACACAGTCCTGAGTCAGAGCTGTGAACACTT